TCCACCTCACCGGCAGCTGGAGTATCACCCTCAGCTTTTATTCTGTTAAATTTTTTTTTAACGATTGTTTTTAAGCTTAAACATGAGTGTTTCGGTATCTGTTGGGCCGGGCACGTCCCTTCCCCAGAGGGCTGTGCTGGTGCCCTCAATTCTAGGGGGCAACACTCCCGGAGCCCCTGGGACCTCCAGCGGCAGCAGAGCAGAGCCAAACCAGCTCGTGGCTTCAGTCCCCTGGGGCACAGCTCCGTCCCCTGTCCCTGTTTCCTTCAGCCAGTGCTGGGAAAGGCAGCTGTGGAGGGCCAGGCACTTGCACCCCCCAAGGCCCTGTGTTTTGGGGTCACTCCTGGCCCCTCCTGCTAGGATGCTGCAAGGGGAGGGAGCGATACCCAGGACTTGTCCCAGGCTCCTTCTCTCCTTTGTTTCTGGGCAAAAATACTCGGAGTCCTGCAGTGTGCCAGCCTCTCTGCCCATCCACCCTTCTCCCTTGCCTGGCTGCGTGGCCCGTCCCCTCCCCACACCTGCCCTGGCCACCAGTATTCTCAAGGCCCCAGGAGCCCTGGTAAGCTGGGGAGTCCTGTGAGGGGGCGTAGGGTACCCGCTGCACCCCCAAAGGCAGGCTGTGGTTCTTTCCCCGCAGTGCCATTGCTGTAGCTGGTGCCACACTGTGCCACACGTTGGCATACGGCCCTTGTCTTGCTGTCCGCTCCACAGGGCTGTCCCAGCGTGCAAAACTCTGGGCGTTGCATCTCCTGGTACAACTGGAAGCCCTTTTGTCCCCTGTTTTTGTTAGCTGCCAGGCAGCTGCCATGACTTCAACCCAGCATAAATCGGGGGCTGGAGTCCCACAGCGTCCCTGTCCCTTAGTCCCAACGAGCCAGGCCAGCCTGTGCTGGCCCCTGCGCTCAGCTTGCCCCCGTCCCTGGGCTCCCATCCTTCCAGGAGGAGCCTGGGTCAGCTCCTGGCACGGTGGCAGTAGCTCTTGAGCTGTTCGAGCTCACTCAGGGTAGGTTTCTTTGCAGGTAGCTGGTGGGGCAGCACAGAGGTAACAGCTGGAGCTGCTTTTCTCTATGTTTTTGTCTATTTAAACTTTTTTATCGTGGCCTGGAGACAGTGAGGTGGTTGAGAAGTCACTGGGCAGCAGCCAGCATCTCTTACAGGGGTGGTCCCAGGGTGGTGCCCTCATCCCACCAATGCCCAGTCCCCAGTGCTGGACGGACTGGGGGTCCCTGCCTGTGCCAGAATCGCTTTGCCAGTCGAGCACCCACTGCTACTGTGCTCGCTACCGGCCCATGGTTCCTGGCCCTGCCAGGGCCACGTCCCTGGTGTTCCTGTACCCCCTCTCCGTGCCCGGCTCTGCTCACCAGGCCTGTGGCTGGTGGTTGGACCTTGCTCCCAGCGCTGGCCCCGGTCTGGTGAAGCCCTACTGTTTTAGCTTCGTTCTCTACAACAAAATAAATTTTTACACACCTTCCTCTTGCACGCGTGTCCTGCCTCTCCTGGGGAGCAGGACCCCTCACCCCTGCCAGGGCTGTGCAGAGCTTGGGGCCCCTCTTGGCTGTGGTGTGACCCAGGACCCCTGAAGGGTCTGGGCTGCCCACCCTGTTTGGGGGATTTAGGATCCCAAATTAGGGGTTTAGGGCAGGAGCTTTAGGCCTGGTCCTGGGGGAGCAAGGCTCAGACCTGGCTTGGGGCTCCTTGGTGCTTGGGCACACAGGTGCTTCTGCAACAAGTGCCAGCCAGTGAGGAGAGATGGGGAAGGAGGTGGTGGGTCCCTGTGTCCCTCTCGCAGGATCGGATGGGCAATGGGAAGGAGGGGCTTGTGTGCCGCTTGGGGGGCTCGACCCG